ATCATTTGGTCAAGTCCTGCTGTCCAGGCAAACTGTGACGAGAAAGATAGAGGACATTGCTGGGAATCTGGAGCTTCAGCTGCAATGTGAAATGGCAAGTTTCGACTTTTTCTCCTTGGCTTTGGACAAGAGCTGTGATGTCTGTGACATAGCCCAGTTACTCGTATTTGTCCGCGGAATAACAGACTTCAAGATTACGGAAGAGCTGGCTGCAATGAAAGGGACGACAGGAAACGATCTGTTCACAAAGGTAAATTGACCCGCTGGGACTGAAACGGGACAGACTGGCAGGTGTCACAACAGACGGTTGTCCAAATCTTATGGGGAAAAATGTCAGACTTTTGAAACATAAGCAAGATAAAGTGACTGGACTCAGCGCAGATCAGAAATTGGTCTTTTTGCATTGTATTATACACCAACATGTGTTGTTCAAGTCAGTACTAAAAATTAACCATGTTATTGATATTGTAACTAAAATAGTAAACTTCGTCAGGGTACGAGCACTGAATCACTGGTTTGTTGCACTTTTCAAGGAGCATGAGACTGAGCATAGTGACATCAGCTACCACACAAATAAAAAGCAAGATTCTTGCTTAATATTTGGAGTATAAACAATACTGTGATGTCTTTAGAAAGCTAAGAACCTCTTTCCAACAGTATGTGAAACTCAAACTGTGTTTAGGGGTGAAAGAGACTGAAAATGATCATTAATATAATGTTACAAATTATAAAAATATTCACAGTTTACCATTGTACTGGTATATTTAATTGAATAAATTACATTTTTTGTAAGGCAACCTCACTTTTTCGTTGCTTAATCATAAAAACTCTTACCAGCTTGTCAAAACCATGATATTTACTGCTTTTAATAAAGTTTTATAATAAATATTATGCAGAATTGAGTTAAGTTATTTGGCCCGGCTTTCCACAATATTTTCTGTTTCTCATGGGACCCCATGGAAAAAATAAATGCCCACCCCTGTTAAAAAGCCTTCACACTAATGAGATCACATTTTCTTCCATGTATTTTTCTGCACGTAAATCGTTCCACAATTTTTTGTATATTTCAACAATTCATATATCAAAACGTTATCAAAAAGAAGTATAAAAATAAATTAGTAGTGATTATAAGGAAACACAAGAAGGAATATTATAGTGATTTATTAAATAAAAGTAATGGTGATATGAAAGCTACATGGCGAGTAACAAATAGTGTTCTGAAAAGTCAAAGCAAAAACAGGTATTTCACAATATTTTTTGAAGGATGACGATGAAATCCATGATGAAAATGAAATTGCAAATGGATTTAATCATCATTTTGTGAACGTTGGATCAAGCCTTGCAGCTAAAATACCAAAAGTAGACAATAATGTGAACCATTCAGTTATAAGTTGTGACAACAGTATTTTTCTTAATGGAATTGACAAAGAAGAAATAATGAATGTTGTAAAAAATCTTACAGATAAGAGATCAAAAGACTGTGTAGACATGGATATGATGTTTGTAAAGGACATAATGAGTTATGTTATCGAGCCGTTTACATATATTTGTAATTTATCATTTTCAAAAGGAATATTTCCAGACAATATGAAAGTAGCTAAGGTAGTTCCTCTCTTTAAAAATGGTGATAAATGTGTGTTCAATAATTATAGACCAATATCCTTATTACCACAGTTCTCAAAAATTCTAGAAAAACTATTTGTGACCAGACTAGATAAATTTATTACTAAACAAAATATTTTAAGTAGCAGTCAGTATGGGTTTAGAGCAAAAAACTCTACATCAATGGCTCTCATGGAAATAATAGAACAAATAACTACTGCTGTCGATCAAAAACAGTATTGTGTTAGTATTTTTGTTGATTTAAAAAAAGCATTCGATACTATTGACCACACTATTCTCCTTGAAAAATTGAATAAATATGGTATAAGAGGACCAGCATTACACTGGGTATCTAGCTGTTTGAAAGATAGGAAACAGTTTGTACAAATAAATGGTGTAAGATCTGACCTGTGCAATATCACTTGTGGAGTTCCTCAAGGCTCTGTACTTGGACCAACGTTATTTATTTTATATGTGAATGACTTAGTGAATGTATCAGGACTCCTCAAATGTGTCCTTTTTGCAGATGACACCACATTTTTTTGTTTGGGTAAAGATGTAAAACGGATGTTGGAATTGATGAAGACAGAATTTGATAAAATACAAACTTGGTTTAAAATTAATAAATTATCATTAAATTTAGATAAAACTAAATACATGATATTTAGTAACAAAAAGAGAACTGTTGACGATCCATTTAAAATTGAGGGTGTTGAGATTTGTAGAGTTAATGAAATGAAATTTTTGGGTGTAATCATTGATGAACAGCTAACATGGAAAAATCACATAAATTCTGTAAGAACAAAAATATCTAAATCTATTGCAGTACTATACAAAGTCAGGGAATTGTTAAATGATAAAGCTCTGTACATGTTGTATAACACAACCATTGTTCCACATTTAATCTATTGCATTGATGTTTGGGGGAAAGTGTGTAAAACATTTACAAAACCTATTTTTATTTTACAGAAAAGAGCTGTAAGAATTATCACCAGAAAGCATTACAGTCACCCATCAAGCACATTATTTTATCAACTGAAGTTATTGAAGTTCCATGATTTGGTAGATTATAGTATTTTATAAGTTATGTATAAGGCTCAAAGTAGCACATTACCATTAAATATCCAAAGAAATTTTGTTAAAAGACAAAGTTCTTACAATCTTAAGGGGATAGAGATATTTGTCAAACCACAATTCAGAACTAGTCTGAAGGGAAGGTCTACCTCAATCCAAGGAGTTGGATTGTGGAATGGTCTAGAGAGTGATGTTAAAAATGCCAAGTCAATGTGTACATTTAAGAAAAAGATCAAAGCTGAATTGTTAAAAAAAGTATATATGAAGTAGCTTAGTATGTGTTTTGTATTAGAATTAGAAAAATTAGAAAGCGTTATTCATTTTGTTCTGTTACTTGAAAATTATTATGATTGAAATAATTGTTTGAAAAAAGGGACAGATATAATAAGATTTTTTCTTCTTTCTGCTGCCTTTCATTTTAAATCTTTTGTATATTTTTTATATTGTTATGGAATTGTTTTGTACTTTTTTTAAATGAATAAACTTTATACCATACCATACCATACCATATCAAAACGTTCAGCTCATTCAGGACATTTCTGCTATGCCTTGATATTGGTGCAATTTGTACATTTTTTAAATATTTAGCTTTTTAAGCCATGTTTTTTTTTTAACTGAAAATGAACAGAGCTCTCCTCTCATCCTTCAAACCCTTTGAGTTATGTACAACCTGTAGCTGCTCAGTTCAGCTTTTGTTCTGGTTCAGCTTTTGGAAGCTTCTTTGTGCTAATTTCAGTTTCATTCAGCTCCTTTCAGCTTATTTCTGTTAATTTTAGCTTTGTTAGTTTTTTCAGCTTTTTTGTGCATTTGGGCTTCTAACTAGGGATGCACCGATCCACTTTTTTTACTTCCGATCCGATACCTAAATCTGTATATCGCCCAATACCGATCCAGTTCCGATATCATCATCATCATTGATTTTATATGAGGCTGTAATAATATCCTCTCAAGTACAATTTGTACAAATATATGCATGCATGTCCAAAAAGGCAACTTGAGGTAAGTTTTATTAATGTTGGATAAGTTTTAAAGTTAGAATTAAATTCTGCTAACACAAAACCATGTTTTTTTTATTCCTAGCTTTAAAGTGGATATTAAAGTGATTAATTTAAGTGATTGTTTAAAGTTATTTTATTTTAGTTAAATAAGGGGCAGATATAATATTTTTTTTCTTCTTTCTGCACTCTTTTCATTCAATGTTTTCTTTTTGATGAATTTGTTGTTTATTTTGTTTCTTTTAAATTAATGAATAAATGAATTTAAAAAAATTAAATGGCTTTGAACATCTGCTAAGTTCATGGCATAAACCAACAGACATGTTCCTGATTTTTTTATTTTACATCACTTTATAATGTAGCTGTTTTTGTTTAGTTTTTTTTAAATATATATAATTTTTTTTGTAATTTTCAAATCATAAGTTTTTTTTTTAACGATTGTCTGTTGTACTGATAAATATCTCCTGGAGGGTAAACTATATCTTGGCTGCAAGTATCAAGCTGCGAAATCCTTCGTTTTCTACAAATGACGGCAGTTGGTCATTAATTACGATGAAGTTTAGCAACTTCTCGGTAAACATTCGCGCTCCGGGGCTTCAGCAATTTCTTCTTCTTCTTCAATTTGAAGCAGGCAGCTTGATTTCAGTCAGCCATGCTCAGTCTGCCCCTCCTCAGAGATGGGCAGATTGGACGCGGCTGGTCGGGGTCGAGTTGCCTGTTGCGGGTTGAGCAAGAGTAGCGCCCCGCTGAAGCCACGGAGTTCGCATGTCCAACATAAAACTAATTTTACTGCTGTTTAATGTGGTGCTATGGCTCTGCAGACATTGCACGTTGCAGTCTTGTTTTGTGGTGTTTCTAGTGTAAAATACTTCCAAACAGCAGATATGTTTAGATGAAAAGTTGGTTAGCTGTTAGCCACAGTGCTGCTAACTCAGTCCTCACATTGTAGCTGGCTGCATGGCATGGATTTCCTGAATGTGAGGCGGGTCTTATTACTCTGGGCTCATCAGGGGCTTGGGCTTTCAGCAAAAATCATTGAGCAATAAGTATTCACACTGTATTTTCACAGGAAATGACGTTTCTCTAGTTGCTTTTACGTCTCATATAAAGTCCTAAAATTTGCACAAAATTCAGTGCAACCCTTCTGTTGCACACCACAAAAACATAAAAGTTTGAAGGGGGTGTGCTGCACCTAGCATGCCAATGGTGCACAGAATGTAAAAACATTAAAGGTGGAACAGTTAGCTATATAATTATCAGGGTTTATTTGCACTACTGTAATTAGCTGTATACTCCAGAAAAAAAGTTACTCATACAGGAATTTCTTACCCCGATGTTTCCATCTTGTAAATAAGGCCTCCAGTTGTTCTGTGTATCACTGTAAAGCAGTCGGTACTGACTGGTCCAATCAGAGCTCCTATAACGACCTTGTGTCGCTATGGCAACCACTTGCTTCCGAGAGCCAAGGTCTACCTGTAACCACTGGTAATGGTCTGTGTCCAAAGGTGACCAGCCTCCGGCACCTAGATTCAAAGGGAGTGTAAAGTTGGGGTGAAAAATGGGAGGTGGAGAAAAGAAACATAAACACTAACAGAAAACAGGTAGCAATACATAACACAACCTGATACTTCTGAGAAAGATACATATTGCCTATAGGGTATGTTCCAGGTACATACCCTGTAAGCACAGCAAGTTACATACAAAGTATTTACACACACACACACACACACATATATATATATATATATATATATATATATATATATATATATATACATACATATATACATATATACGTATATATATATATATATATATACATATATACATATATATATATATATACATATATACATATATATATATATATATACATATATACATATTTTTTATTTTTTATTTATTTATTTATTCATTTCATTTAATTTCCAATAAAAACACAAATACAAATTTAAAAAATTAAAGAGAAAGAAAGGTAAAATGAAAGGAAGCAGAAGAAGAAAATTTCTTATCATATCTGCTCCCTCATATATATACATATA